GGCAGCAGATTAAGAGGTTAAGTGAGCACATAGACTTAATGGGCCTAAAGCCCAATTCAAACTGGCTTAATAAAATTAATTAAATGAGGGCGGTTCTAGGATTTGGATCAGTAGATAAGATAAGGGATTATCCCTACCCACTCAAAAAGTCCAGATCCAAATAAATATTTAGATCATGAAACTCCTAATTTGATTAGGAAGACTGATCTTTATCTATAGATAAGATAAGGGATTAACTTTATCTCTTAAAGAGAGTCCAGATCCAAATAAAAGATTTGGATTAGGAAACTCCTAATGGGATTAGGAGATCCTTTCTTTAAGGCTATAAATAGGAGAGCAGGGCGAACCTATAGATATATAACAGATACAACAAATATTTTGCTGAATTAAGAGAGAAGACAATACACAGTTCGGCTGCTTCTGTCTTCTACTCTTGTTCCTGCTCTTGCCGCCCTACCCAGTTCGATCTCCACCAGTGGGAGTGATCAAGAATAGTTCTTGATATTGCATTTTGCCAAAAAAGGCAATCTGAAGTCGTGCTCACCAGCCATCCATCATATTCTTACTGAAGAATTCGGTTCTTGCTGAAGAATCGTTTTGCTGATTCTGCTCCATCTCACACCGTGTCATCTTCGGTGGAAGCAGTCTTTGGTTTTCTCCTTGGGCGTGAACACCTTCATTGGGGGTTTACTATTACTCCATATCAGGTATATCCCTCTCCTACCTTTTTGGTTTTAGATCTGGTCTGGTTTGTTTCAAGATTGATCCTTGAAAATACAGTTTTCTTAAATAGGGAATGTGATTCCCACATTGGAGAGAGAGAAATTTTTGAAATTTCGCCCAACCTTCCTACAGGATTTTGCCATCCATATGATGGATCTCTCATCCCTTCAGTGGTATCAGAGTCAGGTTCAAATCTTGAACCAAATTAAACCAGATCTGGATCTGTGCATATGGGCAGAAGGCGTTCTACCCGATTTGCGCAATTAACGTTTTTCTGGGAAATTGGTTCCCAGTTTTGGGCGATTGATCTGAAATTAAATCTTTATAAATCTGATTTATATTTAGAATTTTTCTATATATTTTTCTTGATTTTTGGGTTGTTCGTATAGTGGAGATCGAATTCTTTAATGGCGCAAGAAATATGTGCACTGCTGTTCTATTCATTCTTGGTCTGTATTTAATTTTTTTTAATTTTTAGGCAGAATTTATAGGAATTTAAATCTGATGTAATATTAATAGAAAAATAGGTTTTATATTTTATTTCATTCGATGATGAAGCAGATTGCGCAAAGGAGAAATTTTTGCAGATTTGGGTTCAACCATCTGCGATTTGGAGTTTTGGAAACTGCATTCTACGATCTAATTTTTGTTTTGTAGGGTAGTAGTCCTACGAACAACCCTCCTACTGATTCTTGATTGTCTTGTATCAGTTATTTAATTTTAGATCATCATTCTCGAATTGAATCTTGAATTAAAAATCAAACTCTAGACCCATTTGAACCAGATTGGACCAAACTGGTTGGACCGAATATGTGGTCCGATGGGGGCTATTCTCAGCCCTAAAATTTCATATATGGGTCCAGGAGTTGATGATTAATTGCAAGATGCAATTCAGCCAACATCTATAAAACCTAGTTTTAATCTGTTAAAATTGTTTTTGCCCAATTCAGCGTAAAAGCTATATGGGTCGAACTGCTCTTTGTAGTTCATCCCATATACCTAGATAATATTAATTAGTAATATTATGAAGATATGTGGGCTTTAATTATGGGTTTTACAGTTATTTAATTGATTGGATCAATTATGGACTTCATGCATGTGATGTATGGATGTATGATGTGCAACATTCATGGGCCATAAGTACTTGGCCTATGCTGATTCGATATATGGCTCTTATGCACACCATGGCTGAATGCACGTCATTGTCATTGTGTCCTTAAGATCATTGAATGATCTCCCTTCGTGGTGGGCCCCACACTAGTTTCCCCCTCAAGAGGAACTGTGCGGATCCCTAGCCGTTTAGGGCCCATCAAAATCTGGCATTGTGAAAGTCAATGGGAGCCACTTTGGTGTGACCTAAATAAGACTAGGGTGTAATATTTCGTTCCCTCCACTAAAATATGAGTGCATGTGATAGGGAGATTCATGTGATGAACTCTCTAAAGGCCTTCCATCATTGACATGAAGATGGGTCCTTCAGTAATGAGGAAATGCACCATAAAATTGGGCTATCCATTTGTTGTTGGGTCTATTGGATTGTTTCATAAGATGATAGGGGCGTCATAGACCGATGTGGGTGGGGCCTATCCTAAAATGGAAGATTTTCACGGTACCTTGGCATTCACGAATATGATGGGTGAGGACTCACTGGACAAAAATGTTGAACCTAAAATGGCAATGAACCTTGTCTGACAGAGGCCAATGGGAAAGCTCATAAGATGAGTGGATATGATCCTTCATAGAAGGTGGTGGGGTTATGCAGCTGGAATAGTTGGCTTCATGCACCATATGTGATTTCCCACATTTCCAAAGATATAATTTGCAGTCTCCGTCACTGATATATAGGAGGAAAATCTCAGAGATGAATAAATGGAAATGGAACATAGATTAAAAGCCATATCTATGTAGATAACATGAATCAAATAAGGTTGTGGACTAATATTTGCTTTGCCCTTTATCAGAAATGGCAAACAGTCAATTCGCTAAACTGTTGGACGACAACAAGCTTAAGGGCCCAAATTACGCTGGTTGGTATTGTAACCTCATGCTAGTCCTAATGTCCGAGAAATTGGACAAGGTAGCTAAGAACCCTACTCTGGAACGTCCGGATGATAGGGCTTTTGA